GGAAATGGGAGCTGAGGTAGGCCTTGGGTCTCCATGTACTCATCCACACTCACACACACACACACACACACACACACACACACACACAAGTCTGTCCCATTTCACAGTGTCTCAGAAAGACACAGCTTTAAAGGGACAATGACACTGGACCCTGAGGAGGAACCTCTGCATTTCACCTCATGAGGAAGACAGAGGAGACAACGAAGGAAAATGAATGACTTCTGAAGGTCCCCTGTCACAGTCGTCAGCAGACTCCTTGACATTTGGTTAGGCAGCTCCAACCTGACTGACAGGATAACCTCACCAGGGAGTGGCAGGAGGCCAGGAGACAGGAGTCACTGGTGCTTCCCACGGGGACAAGCTTGTCTCCTCTTTCTTGTGCTAAACCTTGCAGATGATCCTGGGAACAACAGGGCCTGACCACATTAAAGAGAGATGATTCCATCATGGATGATTCAGGGGATTAGACAATGACCTTGAATAAACACTTAAATGGAAAAAAATAGAAAGACCCTTCCTGCTGTGAAAGGAAGCCAGTGTTCAGTGGCTAAGTCCCTTCGAGGACCCACAATCTCACACCCAGAGTGCCAGGGGGTGGTAGCGGTGGGCTACTACAGTGTACCTGCTTGGTCACTTCCTTACTGCCTGACTAGGGTCAGCCTGTCCCCTGGGACATGCAGGATTGTGAGAGTGATTCTAGAATGTTTTGGAGAAGAACAAAATGAAACCAGCCAGAGAGTGTCTGGGTGATGTCTGTTCTCACAGCTGTGATGAGTGCTGCTATTGTGGTGATATATTATTTATGATTTACTAACGCTTCAAGCTGAAGATAAGAAAAGCAAAGCAGCCAGCCACTAGCTCTTACCTCTACCTCAGCTCAGACCAAAGCGTCGATTCTCAGACTGCTCCTGACTTCACTGCTCCTCAGATTCACTCACATTGCTATGCTCTCCTCAGCGTGGCTAGAGACTAATCCTGAGACTGACTACTGATCTTTTATATCAGCTGTGATGAGTGCTGCTATTTTACACCCCTCTTCCTACTATGAGTTTGACCTTCCTACTTGATAGAAAAGAAAGCAATAGGCTGTCTGTGGACCTCATGACACTCTTGCAGCTTTGGGATGATGTCCCTGATCTATTTTCAGTACCACATCAGTGAGCAGAAATACTGTGCAGAGAGTGAGAAAAGACTGATCCCTGATGCTTGAGTGGAGTCAGGTGTGGTTCTCCATCTGTCTGTGTCTGTCTGTGTGTCTGTCTATGCAATCACTATACATGGGCACACACATATTACAGAGGGCCCTTGACTTAAGCATTTGAACTTAGGATCTCCCACTGGGTGGTGTCAAAGCAATCCTCATTAGAAATCAAGCATGCACACATAGCGCACACACACGCACACACTTTTGTGTGCGTGTGTGTGTGTGTGTGTGTGTGTGTGTGTGTGTGTGTGTGTGTGTGTGTTTGTGTGTGTGTGTGTATTTTTCTTACAAGGCAGAATCTATTTCAAATATACATCAGATCCTGACCATCATAATATCTGGGGAAAATGGGGGAGGAAGGCAGAAAGTGAAGGGAGGTGTGGAGACAGAAAAGAGAAGGGAGAGCGGAGAGAAGGAAAGGAGGAAGGAAGGGAAAGAGAGGGAGAGAGAAGGGAGGAAAATAGGAAGGGCAGGAGGAAGAGGAGGAACAAAGGGAGACGGGGGATGCAAGGAGGAAGGAGGAATGCAGGAGGGACATCTCAGCCAGTCTCTGTGCATCAGCTGTCCACATTCACTCCCTGCAGGCTCTCTGACTCCCATGCAGTAGAGGCAGGTATCGGCCACAAACATCACTATCTTACAAACCACTGTGAGCCAAGGGGGTTGACTAGGAACCGGAACCAGACACAGTCCTTCTAATACAGGGAAGCCACACAAGCGCTGGCTCCAGGCCTCTCTCTCCCTGCCACTTGTCCTTAGCAATTCTCTAGGAAGACCTCTGTTTGCTTCCCACTTTCTGGGAGGGAGCTGGAGGGAGTTCCCTTGGTTCCTGCTGGTTTGCTGAAGACTGAGGGACCAGAAAGTCTTGAGCAAAAGGAGAGAAGAAAGCAAACTAGCTGTATCTTCCAGACCCTGAGGGTCTCACCCACTGCTTCAGAGAACTGGACTGTGTGCTATCAGCAGTAGGGGGCTCCAGGAGAGGCAGGAAGAAACAGCTGGGATTACCTCTCATTCAGGACTCTTCAGCCCAGGCTATTGTAACAAGGAGACAGCTCCTCATCACAGCATGCACCACCAATGTGCATTCCCCACAGTTCTGGAGGCAGGGAGTCTAAGGTCAGGGTGTGGATCTTTTCTGTTCACATGGTGGGGACCTGGGCACTCTGGAATCTTTTTGTATTAGGTGGGCATTCCTGCAAATGGTTGAAGATAGGAAGTCAGCCCACACCAGGGACCAGCATCCTAGTGGACTTTAGCTACCCCCTGATTGCATTCATGAGGACTCCACTCTCCCTAACTCATCACCTCCCTCCAGCTCTATCTCTTATATATTATGTGTGGTGGGGTGTTCACACATCCTTTGGGGATGGGGCACATTCAATCCATAGCACCCTAAAGAGGGAATCACAAAGGGCCATTGGAAAGGCTCAGTTGTCTTGCATTCACAAGGATCAGAGTTCAATCCACCAGCACCCACATTAAGAAAGGCAGATGCAGTGGTGTGCACTTGTCATCCGGAGACTGGGGAGGCAGACTTTGTCTCAAAAACAAGGTAAGTAGTTCCTGAGGAACACCAGAGATTGTCCTGTGACTTCTACACATACAAACGATTACACATATGCTCTCTCTCTCTCTCTCTCTCTCTCTCCCTCCTTCCTTCTCTCTCTCTCTCTCTCTCTCTCTCTCCACACACACACACACACACACACACACACACCACACTCACACATGAAAAGATAATCAAATTTTGATTCAGTATGGTACTTTTCTGTGCCCCTTTCCTTTGATGCTAATTTTTTTAAATATAAAGCATTTAAACTATGTTGTTATAGGTGGAAACTGTATAAAGTGTTTGTTCAATGCATATAGTGAAATGCAATATAACTGTCATCCACATATGCATACACACACACACACACACACACACACCCCTAGCTAGACTTGGTGGTAAATGCCTATAATCCCACATTCGGGAAGCTGAGACAGGAGATGCTCAAGTTTGAGGCTAGCCTAGGCTACAGAAAGATCCTGTCCTAAAAGAGAGAATAAGAATGAGAGGGAGCATGCTCAAGAGTGACCACATCTACATAGAAATTTTCTTTGTTTCCTGAGATACTGGTTTTTAAATATCTGATTCTATGTCTCTGAGCTACTGAACTCAGGCAAGAAAAGAAAACACCAGCTCCCTGTGGACCTTACAATTCTAGACTGCTTGTCAGTGATGGAAAATGTTAGAGGGTTAATATTTGAAATGAGTATTTTGGATGCAAGAGGCACTTAGGATTGTATACATGTTTTCCTTCTGTGTTAGATTCTCCTATGGGTTTACTTTGCTTACATCAGCTGTTTGCCGATTCCAATTTGCATGCAGGTGCAAGATTCGAAAGGCAGGATACCCATTGGGATAATAAGTAATATACCATTATAGTAATACAGGATTATAAATGGTGCTGAGATGACGGTGGCAGGTGTAGCATGCCAATCTTTTTAGATGAATTCTTTTTAAACAACAGGAAACTGAACTGATTGGCATATATCGCCTGCTGAAGGGAGTGCAAAAGATCAGAGAGAGAGAGAGAGAGAGAGAGAGAGAGAGAGAGAGAATGCTCAAGTTTTATACACACACAAGCCAATTAAGGAGAGGACTCCCAGAAATTGCTTTCTCAGTCAGGATGGAGTGTGACTGATCACAAGTCCAACTGCACTCATGCTAGACTGAAAAGGTCTACAGGTATCTGGCCCAAGGCCACTGTCACTTCATTTGCTGATGGGAATGAGAGTCTCATGGCTAAGTGAGGTGATGATCTCTTACTTTTTTTTTTCCAGGGAGAGCCTGTAGGTGTCTGTGGGTTGGCAGACAGGGGTATGGAGGTCTGAAGCAGATGGTGGGCTCCCTGTGCATGTCTGGGGATAGCAAGCCTGCCTGCATCAGTGGGCAGCAACCTAGGTGAGCTTGAAAACTTCCTGCTAACAGCTTCTGGTGTTCAGGATGAATGCCATTTACTCATGGCAAACAGTCTAGGGGAGGCCATTGTTTGGGGCCAAGCTGCTTTGCTAGTCCCTGGCAGTCCAGACAGGCCTGAATGGAGGCAGTCACTAATGCTAAGTGTGACCATTAAACTGGGCTTTGAAACACTAGCTTTGGGCTACTTTCCCCCAAAGCAGAGGAGTCTAGTCAGCTCAGTCAACACAGTGAGGAAGTCATGTTTACCATGGACGCAGAATAACCCTGCATAGAGAAGCCCCCCTTTGTCCTTGTTTCTGCTTTCTTCAGCCCCTTGCTGCCTGTCAAGTCAGCTCACTGGATACTCATTCTATTTCCAGGTTGCAATAAAAAACAAAAACAAACAAACAAACAAAAACAAATCAGACCTTTAAACTGGATTCCTGCTACCTTGGGTCAGATACTCATCTCTGGAGGTGAAGGCCGGGATAAAGCAAGGTTAACTTTTCCCAGCTGACTGCTCTACAGCAATATGGACACTGTACAAGGAGTTCAAATCCCAGCAAGGTCCGCTTCTTCAAGGAGGGTTTCTATGGCCCCTATTGTTACACAAGGGCTGACTTGGGAGTCTGGGGTGAGGGTCTCAGGGACCAGAATTCAGGACACCTGAAGCAGCAATGACAAGGTACCTGACATTCCCATGAACACATCTTTGCAGTCACCCCACGTGAATCTGTTACACAGGAGCACAGGGAACCCTAGGGACCTGTCTCCAGATCTTACAAACAGACGCCACGACGTAGAACCTGGAACAGGGAGGAATGCGCATGCGCTGTGTATGTGTGTGTGTGGGGGCCGGGACGGCAGGGGCGTGACCTTCAGAGTGAGGGGCGGAGCCTATCCGCCCAGTCTGACCCCGACCATACTGCCTATCGACCCCCTAAGCACATGGCGCGGCATGTGTTCCTCACCGGGCCTCCAGGTGACCCAGGGCCTGCCAGACTTGGCTGGGAGGGGGCGCGGCCTGGACCTCGTTCCCGGTCTCCAGCTTTGGCTGCAGTTGCGGTCTGGCTTGGTGCATTGCAGCCCGGCGGGAGGGAAGGCCGGGAAGACCGCGGTGCGGTGCCCTGGTCTCGGGTCCCGCACCCTGGTCTTAAGCCACGGAAGCAGAGGTGTGCTTTGTAGACTTTGGAGGCCTTTGAACAGTAAGACGTTTTGGAGAGGAGCAGAGGGCAGTGGTAGGCGACGCCCCAGCCTTGCACAGAACGCCCTGAGTTTGAAATCGGGATGTAGTTGGGTCTCCAACATCCTGTTGTGGTGTTCACCCGGAGCCTTCGTCCATATCTGTGTTCATCAGAGATTTAGTGAACCAGGACCACATGCTCCCCCATCCCACCCTCCCCCGCGCAGACTACCATACTAGGGTGTCCTGGGCATCCTGAATTTGCAAGCACCACACCTTTTCTCCTAAGTTGGTAGGGCTCCGCCCCTTGCGCTGCAGGCCCCACTCCTGTGTTCTCAGGAGTTCTCTTGCTTTTGTACACAATTTACTATGTGATTGTTTGCTTACCACTAGCCATCCCAACGAGTGTGGCTTTCCAAGTCCACACGTTCAGACTTCCAGCAATGTAATGAGACTTACAAAAGAAATCATCCTTTGTCCCCACTTATGTCAGCACCCTTGCCTCTTCTGTAAGCCATCTCAGAGGGGGCTCTCTGGTCACCAGAGCCCACTCAGCCCATTCAACCTAAGCCGACCTCCCACTAGAACCTAGGAATCACAAGGAGTCTGACCCGTGCTGCTATTTGTAACATTCAAGTCCCTATAAAGTGGTGGCCTCTGGGATTCAGAACTGTGGGGCTGCTGTGTGTTGTCTCTTTGAAAATAGAAATATACTAAGCTTAAAAATTACATTGCTTATTTATGTGAGTGTATTGTGGGTGTGGAGGTCAAAGACAGCTTTTGGGAGTTGGTTCTCTCCTTGCACCATGTGGGTCTCAGGGATGGAACTTAGGTCGTCGGGCCTGGTGGCAAATACCTTTACCCATTAAGCCATCTTGTTGGTCCATAACTATACTTTCCCTATCCCTTACAATAAAAATGCTGCCTGCTTAGTGTAAGGATGAAATGAAGTGTTAAGAAAGTAACAACACCAGGGAACTCCACCATGTAGAATTAAGCGTGGGGCTTTTGTTCTGTATTCTTCCAGACTGTGTCTTCTGTGGACACATAACATGTGTTCCTTAAAACACATGAGGATTATACTGTGTGTTTCTTTTATTAATCAACCTACTTTTAACTATGCATCATTTTTGTATACTGTGGTCCATTTTCCATGTAAATAAGCAGTACCCCTTTTAATGACTGTTAAATGTAATCCTGTTAGTTTTGCACTGTTGTATGTTGGTGCCACAGCTAATATTCTCTCTCTGGTTAACATTTAGGTAATTTTCATTGTTTTGTTGCTATGGAGATACCCATAGTGAGCATCCAGTTTCACACATTCTTGTCTGGGTCCCCAAGCTATATAGAAGCGGCCCTTCAGGAAAGGAGAGGCTGGCTCACATGGTCAGCACTAAGCAGATCTCCTTGACTTCTTAGCCAGCAGAGGTTAGAAGTTGATCTTTGTTCTGTGTGATTGGCACCACTGTGCACTGCCCACACAAAGGCCATTATTTCAGTGTGGATGTGGAGGAGAGATACATAAAATAAGGATTAAGAATTAACTGTTTTCAGTATGTATTAGTTACTTTTTTTTTTGTTAAAATACCGTGACCAAGGCAACTTATAGAAGAAAGGATTTATTTGGACATATATGGAACTAGAGAGATTAAGAGTCTGTCACAACAGGGAGGTGTGGCAGTAAGAAGCAACATGGTAGTTGGAATGGGAAGCTGAGAGCTCACATCCTTTACCTTGGGCAAGAAATAGCAAAATGGGAGTAGGCGAGGCTTTAGACTTAAAGCCTGCTCCTAGTAACATACCTCCTACAGCAAGGCTATGCCTTCTAAATACCCAAAACAGTGCCACCAACTGGACACCCAAGTGTCAAAATGCCTGAGACAATGTGGGGGTGGCATTTCTTATTCTAACTACCACACAGTACTAGGGATTGAGTCCAGGGCTTCAGGAATACGTGGTGAGGGTATAGCACTGAGCATTATAGCTCATGAATTGCCTTTTAAGGAATATTAACCCTAAGGTTAGCCACTGAAATTGAACAGTTTGGGACCTGTAGTGTATCAGAAGTGATCAGCTGTGGATATGCTAGAACCTTGTGTCTTGGAGTGTGATCCATAGTGTTTGTTCCCTTTGCTCTTTTGTGTAACAGTAAACACTCTATGTGTGCTGGTAAACACCCTGGAGTTTCTTAGTGGCAGCCAGGCTGCAAGGGAAAAGGCCCTAGGAGTAAAGTGTAGATTGGAGGCACCTGGCCTCTGATTTGGGAGCATTTGGGGATCAAGATAGGACTGCTTAGAGCATTAGAGCCCCTGATGTCAGACTTTGGGAGCAAGCATGATTGCTTCAGGCCCTGGCCGAGGTGACTTTCACAGAGGAAATTTCAGGGCAACTCTGTAAAGCCCTGAGCTATTTGTGGAATTTAGAAGATGAGTGTGAACTGAGTTACATTTACACTAGGTCTGCATCTCTTGAAGGCTAGACTTTGATTCCCAGTGCCCTCTACCCAGGTATGGCCAGGTCAGTCCCCAGGTGAAGGGAAGAGGGTGTGTCAGTCACTTTCCATTGCTGTGACATAATACATGACAAAGGCAACTTCAAGGAAGAAAGATAGCTTTGGGCTCATAGTTTTGGGGGACACAGTCCAACATGACAACCAAGGCCAGAGTGACCAGAACAGGTTGGCCCATGGCAGTGGAAGCTGGTAGGGCTGCTGTTTCACATGCCACTAAACTGGAAGCAGAGGGCCTGGGCTGGAAACCTAGAGGGCTACAACACTCTGGCCTCCATCACTGACCCACCTTTATCAGCCTGGCTTCCTGGCTTAACAACCTTCCCCCACATATCATCAGCCTAATTAGACACATGAGCGGGTCGGGGAATGCTTTAAATTTAAACGAAAACAGAGCATAAATCTAAAACAGTGGTTCTCAACCTTCCCAATGCTATGACCCTTTAACACCGTTCCTCATGTGATGACCCCCAACCATAAAATTATTTTGTTGCTACTTTATAACTGTAATTTTCCTGCTGTTATAAATTGTGTTGTATCTGTGTTTTCTGATGGTCTTAAGTAACTCCCATGAGATGGTCTGTCGACCCCCAAAGGGTTTGTAACACATAGGTTGAGAACTGCTGATCTAGGAGGAAAAGAAGCTGGGTTCCAGATGCATCCTGGGACTGTGTTAGATATAAATTTCATGCCACTCTGTCATCACTGTGCTTGTCTCCATTGGGAATGAAAATTCCTCACACCTGGAGCAATGAGCATGGCAGTGCAATTAATAGTCATAAAACCCATTGCAGCCTGCTCTGTTCCTAGTGATTGCTCTGGAAGGCTGGGTGGGCTTGGCCAGGTAAACTTCCTGACCTATCTCCTTTCTTTGTCTTTTTCAGGGGTTGGCAAAACAACCTTGATCCAGAAAGCCAGTGAGGTCCTGCAGTCCTCTGGAGTGCCCATAGATGGATTTTACACACAAGAAGTCAGGCAAGGAGGGAGGAGAATAGGATTTGATGTCGTCACCCTGTCTGGCGCTCGGGGACCTCTGTCCAGAGTTGGGTACTGGTGTTTTGTTTCTTTGGGTTTTGTCTCTATCTTGTCCTGTCCACTCCTTGGGAGCATCTCTTCTCTGTGTGAGTGTGCATGCATGTGGAGCATGTGTCTGTGCACAGGCCACAGGAGGACATCCGGTGTCCTGCTGTCACTCTTTGCCTTAGTCCCTCAAGACAGGGTCTCTCACTGAACCTGGAGCTCACATGGGGGCCAGCGAGCCTCAGAAGTCTCCTGCCTCTCCCCCTTACAGTGCTGGGCCTACAAGTATGCATGTATCCATGTCCGGCTTTTTACATTGGCGCTGAAGATTTGAACTCAGGCCCTTCTGCTTATGCAGCAAGTGTTCTTGCTCACTGAGCCATCTCACCATTCTTGGACCTTCTTTCTTACTGTGATTTCCCTACAGCCAACTCCACCAAAGACTGTGGGGTTCATCTGTGTTGTTCTGTCCATCAGTGGGCTGAGAGTCTTAGCCAGGTGACCCTACCCATCTTGTACCTTCAGAAATTTCTTGGAGAAAGAAAATAGATCATCCTGTGAAAAATGAGGATAAAAAAAGTCATGTTTCATTTAAAATATTGGCCATGAATCATACACCTATCTTATGTGGTTCTTAGCTCTGTTTCTAAGCCATTTTTATTTACTTTTTAGATTATTATTAATTCTTTGGAGGTACTTAAGATTGCAACCATGGCTTTCCCATGTTAGGCAAGCCTCTATCACTAATCTATCTCCCTAGCTCTCTGATTTTAACCTGAATTTTGTTTTGTTTTGATACAAGGTCTTGCTATAAAGTCCCAGCTGGCCTGAAACTCACAGAGATCCACCTGCCTTTGCCTCCTAGTGCTGGGATTAAAGGTGTGAGTCACCATACCCAACACCCCTGTTTAATTTTTATTTGAGAACTCAACTCTTGCCCAAGAAGCTCTTAAATTTTGTATCCTCCTGCCTCAGCCTCCTGATTAGTTGGAATGAAGACTGATCTGCACCATTAGGCTCAGACTGAGACAGGCTCAGCTCTTATGCTGCAGTATGTGGGCTCAGTCTGGAGTTGCATGGATGTCACTGTTTCTCTGCAGGACTGACTTTGGCAGAAGCAGTGCTGATATTCATCGAGGCCTTGATTTCAGGAGAGAAAGCCCAGTGGGCCCAAGCTTACACACTCCCACCCTTTGTATGGGTGATTGTTAAGGCCGTGTGCAGAGAGCCAGTGGCTCAGCAGAGCAGCCCAACCCCAGAAGTCAATGGGGAATCTGTATCAGTGTCTTTTCTTTCAGGTCACAGCCTCCACCTGGAAAGCCTGAGTGCCGAGTGGGGCAGTATGTGGTGGACCTGGCTTCTTTTGAGCAGTTGGCACTACCTGTCCTAAGAAATGTGAGTATGCAATTTCTGTCTCAAAAGCCCATTGGCCTCTGTGGGTTGTGGGATTTGCTGGCCACTTAAACACAGTGGCTTTTTTTCCTGTGATCAGGTTGTGTCTCGAAGGTTGAGCCTTGCTAAGGTTGAGCCTTGCTAAGGATAGGCACTCTACTTTGTTGTCACTCTAAGCTGTCACATGTGTCAAATATTTCATGTTAGGAAGGCTCTGATGCAGATCTGTGTTCCTCTGCTCCATGGTGCATAGAGCATGCTGAGTGTGTGCTGAGAGCCCCGTGGACACTCTATACTGCTCCCTGTCCCTCTGCTCTGTGGTGCACAGAACTTGCTTGAATGTGCTGAGGGCCCCGTGGACACTCTATACTGCTCCCTGTCCTTCTGCTCTATGGTGCATAGAGTATGCTTGAGTGTGTGTTGAGGGCCCCGTGGACACTCTATACTGCTCCCTTTCCTTCTGCTCCATGGTGCACAAAGCTTGCTTGAGTGTGTACTGAGGGCCCTGTGGTTACTCTATACTGCTCCCTGTCCTTCTGCTCCGTAATGTACAGAACTTACTGGCATATGCTATGCACCACTTAGGTGGAACCTAAGCTACTGAGGATTTGGTCACTGCTCGCCAAGGGCAGTCTTCATCTTAGGAGGCCTGAGGTCCTGTGGACCCTCCTGATGTGGAGTTGCTGCTCCTCAGATCTCACTGAGCACTCCTCTGCCTCATCCCTCCTCCTTTCCTCAGTTCCCCTAGGGACCCCCACATTTGTGGGCTGGGCTGTGGAGGCTGCTCTGTTGCTAGCAGCTGGGAGCAGGCAGAGAATAATGCATCTTATTTCCCACGGGACCCATGCCTCCCTCTCACATCCAGACATCAGTGAGAAGTGTCCGATGACATTCTGGTGAAGAGTCCGGCTCTGGGTATTGGATCCATTTAAAGGATTGATTTTTGCTCAGGCAAGCAAAATCCTGGGAGGAGATGGAGTGCCCCATGCTTGGTATTTGGCTTCAGGCTTATGTAACAGCTCATGTGTGCTTGCTGACCAAGTCAACAATTTTCTTCTTATTTTTAATGGAAAGAAATAGAAACTGCTCATAGTTTTACAGTCACCCATGTTTCTGTAATAATTATGACTGTAAACTTAGGCCACTAAACTGGACTTGGGTTGAGTAATTACTTTGGTCTGTGACTGATGCCCTATCTAGGCTATGTAGACATTGGTTTATATATCCCCAAGAAGAGTCATACCATATCGTACCACCTCCAGCAGTGATGGCTTCCTGGGGAGGGGCCTAACGGTGAAGGTTGGGTGAGAAGGGTTGGGGGCTGCTCAGGGATCTTGGACAATGTATGGGAAATAGTTTGTGATGCTGCACTGTGCTTATGTTCAGTAGAAATGTGCCTCTGGTTTGCATTTTGAGGGATGATAGAAGTACATACTTTTGATAACTTAGAGTGTTTAGAGTCCAACTTGTTGGTTCAGCCCTCTTTCCATGCTTTGTGTTTGGATGTAAGCAGATCTTTCTTTGCTTTTTCTATTTTATGTGTCTCTGTGTTTTGCCTGCTCATGTGTCTGTTTACTATGTGTGTGCAGCATTCTCAGAGGCTAAAAGAGAGTGTCTAGTCCTCTGCAAGTAGAGCTACAGACAGTCCCGAGCCATCTTGTGGTGCTGGGAACCACAGGGCCTCTGCAGGAGCAACCAGTGCTCTTAACTTTGAACCATCTCTCTAGCCCTAACCAGATATTTCTTAAAGCAAATGACCTTTAATTTATTGGTTCTACTTCTCTGTAGATAATGGTAATTCCTTTCTTTCCTTTTCTTTTTTTATTGTTAACACAGAAAAGCTCTGTCCTGACCCAAATTAATACAGCATTTTACCTAGATGTTTATTCTTCTATGAGCTTGTTAAAAATACAATTTAATCCATCAGGATTTGTTTTGAATATAGCATATAGTGACATTCATAATTAGTTTCTTCAAGATATTTGGCCAGTTTACTAAAACCATTTGCTAAAGCCCATGTCTTATTAGTTGATACTTTGTAAATAATACTTTAAAGTGTGTGTATGAGATGATTTGGGGTCATCTCTTCCACTGACCTTTTTGATTCTTGCCTGAATACCACTTTAGTCTAGGTACTTAAGCTAACTAACTGTGTTATTTTAGAAAAAGATTTTAATTTTTAAAGGTGTGTGTGTGTGTGTGTGTGTGTGTGTGTGTGTGTGGTGTGTCTATGTATGTATGTTATGGGAAGAGTATATCTGGAGCTGGAGTTACAGGTGGTTGTACGCTCCCTAAAGTGGATGCTGGGATTCAAACTTGGGTTTGCTTCAAAAGCAGCATGTGCTCTTACCCCTGAGCCATCTCTTCAGCCCCGGCATTTTTATTCTTTAAAAAACTCTCATTCAAGCCAGGCGTTGGTGGAGCACACCTTTAATCCCAGCACTCAGGAGGCAGAGGTAGGTGGATCTCTGTGAGTTCGAGGCCAGCCTGGTCTACAAGAGCTAGTTCCAGGACAGCCTCCAAAGCCATAGAGAAACCCTGTCTCCAAAAAAACCAAAACAAAAACCAAAAACCAAAACAAAAATCTCTCATTCATTTGCATTTGTTCCTTCCTCCACATGGGGTACCGACTGTATCAGTGCAGTTAACCCTTACCAAGTAGAAGCTTTATGCCAGGCAGGAGCAAATTGTAAACTCAGAATGCTCTATCCAGTTTCTCAGATGAGGAAACTGAGGCACTGAATAGGAAGGACCTTCCTAAGAGGGGCACAACTTAAAAGTGGTGGAAATGAAATGATCTGTAAATCAAGGATAATGTCCATTAAAAACATCACATGACATAGTCAAAGCTTCACCAAATTCATTACATTTTCTTTCTCTTGCCTGGTGAGGTAATTTGTGTGGTTTCTAGTGTGTTTCTTACAAAAGGAAGAACAGTGAAGCACAGCAGGCACCATCTTCCTGACCCGTGTTCAGGCCAAGCCGTATCTGTTCCTCAGAGACCTTTGCAAGGACTAGAGGTGAAGTCAGCTCAGCCCCTGGAAAATGACTCCCTGTTTGATCCAAAATAGACTTCAAAGTGTTGGGATCTGCTTTGGATCCTGTCAGGGGATGGGGTGTTCATGTTCATGTGTGTAACATAGGGCCAGGGAGTGACATTTGGTGTTTTAGGCCATAGAGCTATAGAAGCTATAGAAGGATCTAGAACACTCAGGTTCCAGTTGGATCCTTCCCTAGAGGCTGGTGGGCTTCCCATCATTGTTGGTGACCATGGCATTTTGTTTCTTGCTTCTGTATTATTTTGGATTTCTACCTCATCACACCTATGTCAGAGGGTAGGCCATGGAAACCAAATACCATCTGATGTGAACACAAACATGTCTAAAAGTCTTTAAAAGGATGTCAGTGAAAATGTTCCTGCAGGGATTCCATAGGCAAAGGGACTAGAAACTTTGCCCCAGATTGGCTTTTTGTCCCCCCCCCCAGCACCTGCTGATGCATCTTTATGGTATCCCTTTGGCACTGCTGGGCCCTGAGCAGGGAGGCACTTTTTGTGGCTGTGGCCTTCTTGTCAGACTTTCCCTAACAGTTCTACTTTCTCTAAACTTTACTTCATCTTCTGAGGATTAAAATAATCTTCTCTCAGGCCCCAGCTAGCAAGAAGATTTACCCATCAATCCTTTCTCCACCACAGTAGCAGCGATTAGCACAAAGTTACCATGTGGTGAAGGGCTGAGCTCCTAATGCCTGATGCCCACCCCCGCCCCCAGATCTGATCTTGTCTCTTGTCTTTGTGTCCAGGCACCTTGTCAGTTAGAAAACAGGTCATCACTACTTCACTGTAGCAAAAAACCAATTATCTGCCCCCCAGGCTATGAAGAGAAGGGTGCCAGGCATCAAAGACCTCAAGTTTTTATCAAAAGTTGAAATATTGATTCATTTTTTCCCCCAGGCTTGTGCAACTTTTAGAGACCATTTGACAGTTGTGAGCATTTGACATGACAGGAATTAGAGCCTGCTAGGTTCTGGTCACAGATCTGCTTGTGCACAGAGTAGCTCTTTGTGGCTGCTCAGGGCCCTGTGCTGTGTGGTTAGGCCTCTCTGATCAGGAACCCATGCACTCACACACTCCCTGCAGTGATGTGGGGATGGTGACATCTCCCACACCCACAGTGTATATTCCTTGTGACAATGTGAACCATCTTTATATGTGGCCCTGGCCTCTGTGATTCCCAGGAAACACAGTGCTCTTCTGCTTCGGCAGGACAGTAACTGCTCCATGGTGAGAAGGACTTCTCTTAGACACAGCTCGTACCTTATGCCAGGAGGAGGTGTGGGAGGGGCTTCAGTCAGGTGAGATGACTTAGCTCTCACTGGGTTGTCAGTAAAGGACATCTGTACAGATGCTCATGTCTCCTGTTACAACAGCTGGGGACAGAGCACAGGAGTTCTGGTCAAGTCCCAGTGTTGCTTGCTGAGGAGCTGAGGAGATGGAGGAGGTGTTAGGCAACCATATTGGGAAGGGACCATCCATCACAGTTTGATCTTTTTGCCAGGGAGCTGGGGAACTGTGGAGACATGAGTCTGCCATAGATTCCCATAGACCCAATGTCCAGGCTGGTCCCAAGGGCCTGTATTATAAGTACAGGGTTCCTAACCCCCTGGGCTGTCAGCTGGTATGAGCCTTCTTGTTCCTAGGATAGCTCTCCTATTCTGGAAGACATCTGGGGTACCACCTACTTCCTGTTTGGTTCTGTAATATACATGAGCCCCCAGGACCACTAGGCAGAGCCTCAGCGCTCACCTGCCTAAGCTCTGGGTGTCAGCTGTATTGTGTATGTTGGAGCAGCTTCTGAGTGAGGAAGGGCCCAGCTGTAGCCCCGACACACCCTTTCCTGGTTAGCCCTGCCTGCTATAAACAGCACAACACTGATTGGAACACCGGAGTTCCAAGGCCTGAGGTACTAACTGGCTCCCTGGCTGCTGTTGTCATTGTCTATATG